CAAATTCTTTGGCCACCTAATGAGAAGGAAGGACTCTCTGGAGAACAGCCACATGCTGGGAACGACGGAGAGCAAAATAAGGGGACGGCAGAGAATGAGATGGCTGGATGGAGTCACAGAAACAGTTTGGTGTGAGCTTAAACGGAACTCAGAGGATGGTAGAGGACAGGAAGGCCTGGAGGAACATTGTCAATAGGGTCGCGATGGGTTGGACATGACTTCACAACTAACAACATGGACTGGGTACACAGTCCTAAAATACATAGATACAATTTGACCATCGATGATCTCTAGATGATACAAGGCCATTAATTATTTCCGTTAAGTTTATATCCTTTACTGTCCATTGCCTGAGGTCGGAGTTGACTCCACTGGGCTCCTTCCACAAGTGAGCTATGGTGGCGCAGTGCAGTACTGCAAGCTACTTCTGCTGACTGCCGACTGCCTGCAATTTGGCAGTTCGAATCTCACCAGGCTCAAAGTTGACTCAGCCTTCCATTCTTCCGAGGTGGATAAAATGAGGATCCAGATAGTTGGGGGGTGATAGGCTGACTCTGTAAACCACTTAGAGAGGTAAGCACTTTGAAGCGGTATATAAGTCTAAGTGCTATTGCTATTAACCTGAAATCAGCTTCATCTCCCTAGACAGATTTAAGCTTCTGAGGCACTCAGGAAGCCAAGCCAGCTGATTATCAACTTAATATTTGTTCTGAAGGAAATAACTGTGAAAATTCTTGCTTCATCCCATTTCCCACCTTCTGAGATTTCCACGAATTTGCCAAATGGGAAAACATCATTATGGCTAGCAACCATTTTTCACCTTCTACTCTTTCACCATTTTCAGGAAGTCTATAATGCTGGGATAGGTGGAAAGAAAGAGAAGATGGTTAGCAGCAGCCTAGATGGACCTCAAAGGCCTGGAGAAGTTTTATCTTCTTGGTCACTAAAAAGTCAACACGAAGCTATGACGATTTATTTATTAGTTAGTTTGTCAAACGTGTACAAAATAGCAAGTATAATTATAAACATGGACATGAACCCAGGAAATGAGTACAAATAAATGGGGACAGTAGGACAGGGATGGTAGGCACACTGCATGCCCCCTTTATGCACCTCTTAGGAATGGGGTGAGGTCCATGGTGGACAGTTTGAGGTGGAACTGTGGGAGTTTGAGGATGTAACAATGGAGTCAGGTAGAGTATTCCAGGCGTTGACCACTCTATTGCTGAAGTATTTTTTGCAATCAAGTTTGTATCGATTGCTTGTTTGTATATTATTGTGGTTGAAGCTGAAGTAGTTGTTGACAGATAGGACGTTGTAGCAGACAATTTTGTGTACTATGATGATGTTATCCATTCATTTGTGTCCAACCTCCCATAGACCGATTAGATCTCACAGGTTAGGTCTCCTCCGGATTCCATCNGAATGGAGATTTTGCAGTATCCTTCCCCTAGAGTGGGGACGGAATGGAGTTATGCAGTATCCTTCCCCTGGAGTGGGGAGGGAATGGAGATTTTGCAGTATCCTTCCCCTGCCATGCCCACCAAGTCACACCTACAGAACCAATAGTAAAAAAAAATGAATTTCACCACTGAGCAATGGTTGTTGTGGAGGTTCAGCCAGCTGAACAAGAGTCTGCTCTTCCAGTTCCCTCTTAGCGAGGCTTAATTCAATTGTGTTATTTCTTTTTTGGGGGGGTGGAATCTGTCAATAGGCTGGCATCACCCAGGTGAGAAATTTATCTCTACTGCCTATTCTCTTAGGGAAGATGGTATCGCTCCTTCCAGATGGACTCAGCTGAAGGATAAATTCCATTTCCTCTTATCAATGACAGCCATCCTATTTGCATATTCTGCTGGCGAAACTGATAATGGGTGGGTGGAGTGATTAATGGGCCATGATCTACAGATAGATACCTGTTTGATCAATGTCCAGCAAATGGAACTGTCTGTTTTAGAAAAGACTGCAAGTCCTTTCATCCAACCAAGGGATCCCTCCACTGCAAAACTACCCCTCGAGTGAGGTAGTAGTAAAATACTTCACCATCATTCAGGGCTTCTTGACCATCTCAAGTTCAGAGAAGATAAATGACTCATGAGTAAAAATATTTCAGGATGGATGTCTTGGGCTGTTTCCTCAAGACTGCCCTTATTCCAGTGTTTTCTCTTTCTTACCCTTCTCTTTTGCTTTTAAGGGACTTCTAGAAGACCCTCCTCTGTGTGTATGTGTGTGTATTTATATGTGCATACACACACACACACACACACACAGACACACACAAATGTATATGACATACAGAATGATGGAGTTTCACAATTCTCTTCCTCCTTCTCCTCTCCTCTCCTTCTCCTTCTCCTTCTTCCTCCTCCTCCTCTTCTTCTTCTTCTCCTCCTCCTCCTCTTTCTCCTCTTTCTTCTCCTCTTCCTTCTTCTTTTTCTTTTTCTTTTTCTTCTTCTTCTTCTTCTTCTTCTTCCTCCTCCTCCTCCTCTTCTTCTTCTTCTCCTTCTTCCACTTCCTCCTCCTCTTCTCCTCCTCCTCATTCTCCTCTTTCTCCTCCTCTTTCTTCTTGTTCTTGTTCTTGTTCTTGTTCTTCCTTCTTCTCCTCCTCCTCCTCCTCCTCCTCCTCC